AGTAATAACATTATTACATTCCAACCCAGCCCAGCTTCTCACCTCTAATGGCAAGGGGCCCCCCCGCCCCAGCTCCCATTGTATATTGCTATCTTAGCACTTTATATTGAAATTATCCCTTTAGGGGCACCTGGGGAGCTCAGTCTGTTGAGCATCTGACTCTTGATTTCAGCTCCGGTCATGATCTCAGGGTCCTGGCATTGAGCCCCACATCAGGCTCCATGCTCCCTTTGCCCTCCCCCCGCCATGCTCTTTCTCTCTCTCTCTCAAATAAATAAATGAATTAATAAATAAATCTTTTAAAAAAATAAGTTATCCTTTTAACACAGGAAAGTAATAATCAGATAAATGCAAATTAATAATGGGAATGCTAGAGTGGGTTTTATTTTTGCCTTTTTTTATTTTTTAATAATAACAATGTGATAATGAGGTATAGGCCCATTTCTTTTTTTTTTTTTTAAGATTTTATTTATTTATTTGACAGAGAGAGAGACAGCGAGAGAGGGAACACAAGCAGGGGGAGTGGGAGAGGGAGAAGCGGGCTTCCCATGGAGCAGGGAGCCTGATACAGGGCTTGATCCCAGGACCCGGGGATCATGACCCGAGCCGAAGGCAGACGCTTAACAACTGAGCCACCCAGGCACACCTAGGCCCATTTCTTAAAAGCAATATAGCAACAAGTACCAAGAGACCTGGAAAATATTTAAAACAATTGGCTCAGGAATTCCACTTCTAGGACTCTACCCTAACATAATAATCAGCAGCATGGACCAAGATTTACATACAAAAATGTTAATTGCAGCTTTATTTATAATAGGAGAATCTGAAAACTAAATATACAAAAGTAGGGGAAAAGTTAAGTGAACCATAGTCTGTCCATGCAGCTCTTTGTATTAGTGTTGATAAATCTGATTTTTAAAGAATTTTTTTATTTAAAAAAATTTGTTATTAGAAAGTAATACAGTTGACCCTTAAATAACATGGAGCTTAGGGACGCTAATACCCATGCTGTCAAAAACCTGCATATAATTTTTGACTCCCCCAAAATATAACTACTAATAGCCTAGTATTGACCACATGTCTTACTGATAACATTAACAGTCAATTAACACTTATTCTGTATGTTGTATTATATACCATATACCATATTCTTACATTAAAATAAGCTAGAGAAAAGAAAATGTTAAGAAAACCAGAAAAGAAAATGCATTTACAGTACTGTACTGTAAAAAAAAATCTGTGTGAGTGGACCCACGCAGTTCAAACCTGTGCTGTTCAAGGGTCAACTGTAAGTGTAAAAAAGGCAGTACAGAAACATAAAAAATAAACGTACAAGTTGCTCTGTGTGATTGCTATGAGGAAAAGGGAGTTTTCTCTTTCCACTGGGGTTGCCAAGCCTGGAAAATATGAATATGGGGCTGCCAATGGCCATCCTCCCCACAGCAGGAAGTGAAGTCATCTCTGGATGAAGCCAAGCACTGAGAAGCAGTCTGACAGCTGGGGAGAAAGAAGGCCTGGGGAAGTGGGTTCTGCTTCTGGTCCCTTGAGATCCCGGTTTCTGCAGCTCATCTTTTGATTCTGAGAGCCACTTCAGCGTCCTTCCCATTAAACGAGCTAATAAACTGCCTTTCTGCCTTGACTTTTAACTGAATGAGTCATGACTAATACCAGGCCAGCTGCTTTGTTGGAATCAAATTATAGTGCTTGTGCTATAATTCTATTCTAATGATCAATTAATTCTTCCAACAACATGAAATGAGGTCCATGCGGCATGAAATGGGTTCGGTAAACCACTAAAGGCCCCTAAATAATCACCTTTCTTCATGGCCACAAATCATCCTGGGAATAGGCATCAAGTTCACAGAGTATAGTGTCTGGAATACATATTTTTCCTTTTTATGAAACTCAAGACAGCAAGTATTCATATTTAGTCTTAAGTCATCTCCTCCAACATATTTTCTTGAAGATCCATAATCTTATATTATGGGTATATGATATAACTCATCTGGGTCTGAAGATTTTTAACCCGTTTTAAGGCAAACTGGTGCTTTCTACCACTGCACTTATCTTGGCTTTAATTTCCTGTCACTGCTGTTTCCCTTATTCTCTACAGCCTGAGGATCATTTTCTTTGACAGAGAAAAAAAAACACAATCAAAATAGACATTGGGTATTTGTTTCTTTCACTTATATAGTCCTTTACCACATATCATATGGTCCCAAGCGATGGGATTATCTTTCTTTTTTCTTCTAGCTCTTAACACTGAGCATTGGGCACCTGGGTGGCTCAGTTGGTTGGGCGACTGCCTTCGGCTCGGGTCATGATCCTAGAGTCCTGGGATCGAGTCCCGCATCGGGCTCCCTGCTCAGTGGGGAGTCTGCTTCTCCCTCTGACCCTCTTCCCTCTCGTGCTCTCTCTCTCTCTAATAAATAAATAAAATCTTTAAAAAGAAAAACAAAAAAAACCACTGAGCATTAAAAATACCTCCTCCCCCAATTAAAAAAAAAAAACCCTTTTGTGGTTAAACCTCAGTGTATTATGCGCTGCCTACTTCTTGATCTCCCCTTTCACATCTGTGGTCCTCTTTTATACTTTCTTTGTTCTGTGTCCTTTCTGTAAACCCCAATCCTTTAAAATCCTGATTTCACTGGGTTTGGGGTTCGTTGAGTGCACTCTTATTTCTTCCTCAACCAGATCTTTGGAGTTTATAGGTCAGAATCTGTTTCTAAGCATTAGAACCTTATTCCTCTGAAACCATATCCCTTTTTGTAGTCTCTACTATGAAATCACATGAATGTAAAAAATACAATCTATTTTTTTTTTGTTAAAAAAATTCCTACTTACGAGAAAGTCTGAAGCATAAAGAAGCATAAAGAAAGTACGTAATGGCAGAACTGCTGGCTCTCCTCTACCCCTGTCTCTGTCGTTTGCCCAGCAACTTCAGACCACCTCTAGACTGGGTAAACCAGTGAACTTCTCTGTGATTGGGTAGGCAACTCATGCCTTCTCCAAACAGGTGCAAACTCCTTTCAGATTTGTCCTTGAGTACTTGTCCTCAGCCCTAGGTATATCTTTTGGTTACACTTTTATCAGTTAATTCTGGACATTCAACTTCCCTTAAGCAAGGTAGAGAAGGGGGCAGAGGGGAACAATCATCAACCAGTGGCATGGGAATGCCTTAGGAGTCTGGGAGCCAGCTGGAGTAGAAGGCTCTCAGAATGCCAAGGGGAGAATGGTGGGTTTGGGGGAGGAAGGGAAGGCTTGGTGAGGGAATGACTGCTCAGTGTGTGACCCTGCTGGCCCCAGGTAACTGCCTGCCATTGAAGGGCTTGCCAAAGTATGGGCAGGTGGCTGCCTGCTGGCCTCACAGGACTCTGGTTTCTGGGTTAAGAGGGCTGCAGGAAGGTTACTGCCAAACTAAAGCTGTGAAGTCACAGAGGAATTGGGTTTGAGCCTGTGGCTGGAGCAGACCCCACTGGATGTTCTCAGGACCACACTCCCAACTCTTGTACCGCCCCAGAAACTGCAGGAAGCTTCTTCTTCCAGCACACTTTACTGAGAAGGCTTAACTTGGTGCCCACTTTGAAGGAGAAATGTTTAAAGGAATTCTGTTATTTATCATAGAGCCTATATTGAAGTGTGTCAGAGCCGAGAGGCAATACATTGATAACTGACATAAGCACTTATGTTTGAAGTCTTTAGCATTTCCGTAGGGGCTTTCGAACTCCTGACTGCAGATGGCCTATAAACCAACTAAGAATTTCAGTTTTTATAATGGGAAGTACGATATCAGTTATATATGTTCATTACAAATATAAGACAATTCAGAAGGCTAATAAGTATAAAGTGAAAGTCCTTCATACCATTCATTCGAGATAAACAGTTTTAATAATTTGGTTACTTCCAGACTGCTGGCAAATGTATGATTAACATAAAACAGATGCCATGGGGACTCTTTTTAAACTTTTTTTAAAACTTACTCTCTCAAGGGCGCCTGGGTGGGCTCAGATGGTTAAGCGTCTGCCTTCCGCTAGGGTCAGGATCCCAGGATCCTGGGATCGAGTCCCGCATCGGGCTTCCTGCTCAGCGGGGAGGCTGCTTCTCCCTCTGCCGCTCTCTGTCTCTTATGAATAAATAAATAAAATATTAAAAAAAAACTTACTCTATCAAGGAATCACTGTATCTTTTTGAGTCAACACACACAATTCTATTAAAGACATGTTACAACATGGTGAGATTTGGGGTCGCTATCCCTCTCTAAAACCGTCCGATGCGGACGTATTTGGAATTAACTCCCCCTTTCCCCTGGTTCTAGGGGCCTCTAGCATAAAACTGCTAAAGCTTCTTTTTTCACACACATGATCCTCTCATTTCACTTTGCTCAAGTCGAGTCTTCCGCGTCCCGTCTGGCTCCTCCACAGCCTTGTGGAGGCTTTGAAGAGGGTCTCAGACGCGTCCGGGAGACTCCCGAAGCGCCGTTCAGGGTCGGGCGGTTTACCAATTCCACGCCCTCCCCCGACTCCTTCAAGCCACCTGCGGGTGACCTCGGTCCTCCCCACCCCAACCCCATCCTCGCTGTCACCGCCGCCCAGAGCATGCCCGGCCCCGCCCCAGCAGACTCGAGCTCGGCCAGCGCCGCCCCGCCATGGCTCCACCCACGTGCCTGGGTCCCGCGTACCCGGAATTACGCAAGCCTCCTCGTCCAAGGCTCCGCCCGCTGGAAGCCCACGACGCTCACCGCCCCCCCCTACCCCGCAACCCATCCGCCCACTTCGCCCTGGCTCCGGAACCTGCCCCGCGCATCCCGCCTGGGCTCCGCCCACCGGAATCTGCAAAACCCGCGCAGCCCGGGCTCCATCCATCCGGAACTTGCACCGCCTTCCTGGGCCCCGCGCGCCCGGAACCTGCGTCGCTCGCTCCGCCCAGACTCCGCCTACCCGGTTCCTGGCTCCACCACCGGGGAACTGTACCAGCTGCCCCGAGCTCCGCCCCGAGGACCCGCGCGGCCCGCCGAGCGCCGGCTCCTCCCCTGAAGCCTGCTCGCGGGACTGGTGCAGTCGCTTCGCCTCGGGTCCGTGCCCTGGCCCAAGCTAGCCCGCCATGGAGGGGGATACCCCCGCCGCTGCAGCCGCCCGCTACCAGCCGGCCAGCCCCCCGCGGGACGCCTGTGTCTACAACAGCTGCTACTGGTGAGGGGGCGCGGGTGCAGCCCCCGGCATCTCCCTGGCTCCCTGGGTCTCCGCGTCGCAGCCGGGCCCCGCCTCTTCTCAGCCCCTCCCTGGGGGCGCTCTGGGCCTCCACTGGCGGGTTTTCCCGCTTGTGGGATGAGGGAGCGGGAATGGCAGCCCTCGTCTCTTGAGTGGAGCGTAGGCGTTTGGAGGGGGGGAGGGGCGGAATTCCCAGGAATGGTAGGGTCGGTGGTGCATTACTAATGCCCGGCGCTTTTCGCTTGCACATTTCGCAGCAGATCTCAGTGCTTGGGGCCCAGGAAGGGGAGTTGGAGGCGGAGGGTGGAGCGCGGAGAACCTTTGCAGATTACTCTGCTGAAGCCTTTGTGGTTTCACACTCATTTTAATTTTGGAAGAGAATGGAGGAACGGAGATTTTGCAAATAACTTTCCCAAGGTCATCAGCTGATAGCGACCAGGAATCCACTTCAGACCTTCTTGTACCAGAAACCGTCATGAACCACCATGTTGTCATTATCATACCCATTACATTTACATGCACTTGCTGTTTGCCAAACATTGTTTTGATTCGCTTGTGTAAACTAATTCATTTGAGCCCCACAATTACCCTAGGAGGTAGGTACTTTTGTTATCCCTGTTTTTATAAAGATGAGAACACAGGCACAGAGGGGTGCAACTAATTTGCCTTAAGGCCACATATCTTGTGAATGAAGAAATGGGGATTTACATGTAGAGAGTTTGGCTCTGGAGTCCACACATTATACCCCTGTCCCAGGCCACCTGTGTGGCCGAGTCACCCCTCCTGGAACCTTGGTCTTTTTCACTCCCACACCTGAGTAATGATTTCTTCCCCAACCTCCAGTTGCAGAATAAACTTCAGGCCCATCTAAACTACCTTTTCCTCTAGCTGGTCATCAAACCAGTGTAACCAAGACTTTAACATTTGTTCAGCTCTGACTGCATGTCAGGGCTCGTGCCAAGTGTTTCCATCCATGGCTCGGAGATAGGTTCTATGATTTACCTCATTTTATTAGTGAAAAGGGAGCCTTTTCAGCAGCCAGAGAAGCTGCGTCTAAGATCACACATCTAGCAAGAGGTGGTGCTGAAATTGGAACTTCTGTAGTATAGGAGTCCGTGATTCTTAACGACTGCACTTTATTTCTGTCTTACTTCTCACCTAAAACCCCTTAGTTCTTGTCCCTAACGTCCATTCGTTTTATTTATTCATTCGGTAAATGTTTATGAGGCACTTGGACTGTGTGGTGCACAATTGTAGGCACTTTGGGATACAACACAGGGTAGACAAATTCCCTGTAAGAGCTCATGGTTCCTATGTTTTGGTTCAGGGAAAGCAGGCAAAACCAAGTAAAGCATGTTTGGTGTTAAGTGTTATGAGAAAATAAAGCAAGGTAAGGGATGGTGACTCACTTTTTCATGATGGATATTTAAGGAAGGCATTGTTGATAAAGTGGTATTTGAGCAGAGATCCGAATAAAAAAGGGTGGGAGCCTTGTGGATATTGGGGGAAGATCATTCTAGGCAGGGGAGCAGTGGTGCAAAGGCTCTGAGAAGGAAGGGTGCAGGAGTGTTCTAGGAGCAAGGTAGCTGGGACAGCTAGAGTGGAGTCATCTGGTGGAAGCATGGCAGGGAATAGACATCTCTTCAATAGATGGTCTCCTTTAAGTTCCTTCAGCCATGGGCCAGGCCCTCCTTGGCTGTCAGTGGCTTGTTCCAGTCCTTCCTTACAGGCCTCTGCCCAGATCTCTCCTATCCCCTCACGTCCTGAACCTTAGCTGGCTTCACACTGCTGAAAGCCGTTCTAAATTCACACGAGCCCTAGAATCACCTGGGAGCTTGTAAAGCATGCAGATCTTACGGTCCCACTCCACAGAGAGTCTGGATGTGTGAACAGTGCAGTGGAGGAGTCTTAGCTCGTCCATTTATCACATTTTCAGGAATACAGTTACAGACAGTGAAGTCTGTCTCCTGAGCATAGCAGGTCCTTTCAGATCTGGTCACCATGTGTTTCTCCAATCTCATTCTGAACCTGCCTTCTATTCTAACCCAGGGCTTCTAAGCCATGGCTTTATTGACATTTTGAGCATGCTAATGTTATGGGGGGCTGTCCTGTGTATTGTAGGGCGTGTAGCAGCATCGCTCGCCTCTACTCACTAGGTGCCTGTAGCATCCTCACCCAATTTGTGACAACCAAAAACGTCACCAGATAGTGCCAAATGTTCCCTGGGGGGCAAAATCGCCTCTGGTTGAGAACCAGTGTTCTGCCCAGTCTTAATCTATCAAGGAGGTGCACCTTACTACGCTTGCTCCTGCAGGTTCTTATAACTTGAAATAAATGCCTCTTTTCTACTTCTTTAGTCAGATGTTATTTATCTGTTCAGAGCCAGCTGAATGATAATAGTGGTAACCGGTATTTGTGTGGCACTAGGTGGTTTGCAGAGCATGTCTGATTCAATTGTAATTGTTTTGTATTCTTTGAACAGTTGAGCACCTGCTATGTGTCAGGGATCCTTCCCTTCTGCATGCTTCTCTGACCTCAGCCCATCACCAGTAGCCCTTGCAGAATCTTGACCTTAATGCTGCTTTGTTAGTCTTTCTGCTACAAAATAATCAACCAGTAGGTTGGAACATTATTATTACAATCCCCCCCCTTTTAAAGAGGTACCAGGACTCACACCAAATCTGAGGGTCTTCCTATCCCAACAGTAACTCCCAGAGTTTCCAAATATAAGCACCCCCTCCCCCCCTTTTAAGTAGGCTTCATGCCCATTGTGGAGCCCAACACAAGACTTGAACTCACGATCCTGAGATCAAGACCTGAGCTGAGATCAAGATTTGGATGCTTAACTGACTGACTGAGTCACCCAGGTGTCCCAAGGCCCCCCTCTTTTAAACATCAAATGTTTCTTGAGATCCTCCTATATGGTATTGTATCCTGTATGATATTGTACTCATAAAAAATTGATAAAAAAGGACTACAGATTCAGTAACGCCTATGTTTAAGTTTTTTTTTTCTCTTTGTGACATTCATACATACTTGAAAAATAATAGACAAAGTTTGTCCATTCACATATGTATTCAGCTTGCCAACAGTATTTGTGGTACACTCGGATTCTCAAACTCTTCGTGTTAACTCTGTTCTCATCCTTGGGGCTGGGGGAGGGGAACAAACAATGAGAAGCCACTGACCTATACCTCCTCCGTCTTCCTGTGTCCCTCAAAATTAATGACTCTCTTCTATGCATCTTTTATGGCCTTCTCTGATGCTTGCTTATTTATGGATCTGTATGTCTCCTCTCATTGTCTGTGAACTCTAATTTATCATTACATCCTCCAAGCACTTAGCATAGTGCTTTTACATCACAGCCTCTTGAAGATGTCTGCAGTCAACTCCAGAATGTCTACAGGCTGGACAGAAAAATGTCTTCTGAAAACTTGGTCTTAGAACATCCAGGTTTTGTTTGGAAGTTAGGCTTTGACAGATTGAGTCACGAGTACAGCAGAGTGTTGATGCAGCTCATTTTGAACAAAGGCGCGGTGTGGCTCATTAGAAAAAGATAAGAATCCAGAGGCTGAGCTGTGAATACTGCCAGCAATGATTGATTTTGCCTGTGTGGGAGTGTGCCTGTGGCTATCAGTGTGGCTTGGTTTCATGCACTGGGCATTGCTTTACTTAGGTGATTCTGACTACTGCTTTAAATATCTGAAGGCATGTCATAGAGAAAAGGAGATTCATCTGGGGTATAGGAAGATGGATTTCAGTTCAGCATGAGAAGGGACTTCCTAAAAGTCAGAACCTCTTTTGTACCAGAGGGATGCAGGGAATCCCACTCAGAGTCTCCCTCCAAAAGAATTCCTCGGCATATCGTGTAACTGCTCCCCGGTCCTTTCCAGCCAGAAGCCCTCCTCCCCAACACACTCATCCTGCCCCATTGCTAAGGGGAGCAGTGAACCAATATTAACTAAGATTTGTCAAGTGTTTATGGTATGATTATCCCCATTTTACACATGAGAAAAGCAGATACTCAGGTCGGGATGTTCAAAGCTTCTTAGGACCTTGTAAGTGGCTGAGTTGGAATTCCAGCTGTATCTCAAGTCCCCGGATCCAAAACTTAGGGAGTACTGATGGAGCATCTTATCAGTTATAAAATGCCTCCATGTGCAAGCACTGCTGGGGCAGATAGCGAGCATTCTGTTTGGAGGGAGGTCGGCGCACAGTATAAATTGGGTCACACCTTGTTGGGGATGTTTTAGAAGAGGGTCAAACATCAGTCAGTTATTCGATGAGGTGGTGTTTAAAGTCTCTTCCAACTTTTTTATGTCTTCATCAGTCTTCTGTTCAAATTTGAAAGACACAGAGCACTATTGCTTAATTGTACTGATTAAACTATTATTTTATTTCAGTGAAGAAAATATTTGGAAGCTCTGTGAGTACATCAAAAACCATGACCAGTATCCTTTAGAAGAGTGTTATGCTGTGTTCATATCTAATGAGAGGAAGATGGTAAGTTGGTGAGTGATTGCAGAAAGAGAACAAGAGATTTATGGTGACAATAGGAACTAAATACAATATGGGGTCAGCACTGTCCCAAAATGTGCTTTATAAAATACAGCAACATTTTAAAGTTTATTTTTGAATGAGTTTTTTTTTTTTTTTTCCTTTCAGGGCACAGTTGAGTTAGAAAAGTTTAGTCCCTTATTTGTAGGTCAAGAAATAGGTGATGGTATACACAGATTAAGTCCCTTTTCTTTAGGTATTAAGTTAGAGCTTTTTATTTATTTATTTTTTTAAAGATTTTATTTATTTATTCATGAAAGACAGAGAGAGAGAGAGAGAGAGAGAGAGGCAGAGGGAGAAGCAGGCTCCCAAGGAGCAGGGAGCCCGACACGGGACTCGATCCCAGGACCCTGGGATCACGACCTGAGCCGAAGGCAGACGCTTAACCATCTGAGCCACCCAGGTGCCCAAGTTAGAGCTTTTTAAATTGCTTAGGCTAGAGCCACATACTCTCAGGTTTGAAGGAAAGATGTTTTTGTCTCTGGAGTTTAAATAAAATTATGGTAAATTTACATGAAGTTTTAAAAAAGCAAGCCTTTAAAAAAAAAGTAAGCCCTTAATATTTTGTAAAGCACTTTAAAAAAATATTTAAAGATTTATATTTTTAAGTAATCCCTACATCCAGTGTGGGACTTGAACTCACAACCCCAAGGTCAGGAGTCACACATGCTACCAAATGAGCCAGCCTGGCACCCTGTGAAGCACTTTTGTAAGCATCATCTCATTTGATGCCAGCGGGAACATGGTAAAGTAGGCAGGCTTCAGACAACTATCTCCATTTTATAGATGAAGAAATAGGGGCTCAGGGAGGTCCCACAAATAATGTGGGAAAGCAAGACTTGAACCTTCCAGGCCTTTTTTTTTTTTTTTTTTTTTAAGATTTTATTTATTTTTTTGATAGAGACACAGCGAGAGAGGGAACACAAGCAGGGGGAGTGGAAGAGGAGAAGCAGGCTTCCCGCCGAGCAGGAAGCCCGATGCGGGGCTCGATCCCAGGACCTGGGACCATGACCTGAGCCGAAGGCAGACGCTTAACGACTGAGCCACCCAGGCACCCCCCTTCCAGGCCTTCTGATTGCCTGTTGAGATCTCTTTCTACTCTCCAAAGAACATCAGATAATTTTTGCATTTTCATTGTTAAAAACACTTGGAAGGATTTAGATTTCTTCTTCATTCACCTTGATTGTTGGTTGCTTAGAAATATTTTATATTTATGTATTGCTTTAAGGAATTTAGTAGTGGTATAATTGAAGTTGTGCCTTATGAAATTGGTTATATTTTGTAGATACCTATCTGGAAACAACAGGCAAGACCTGGAGATGGACCTGTGATCTGGGTAAGATGGTCAATTCAGAGAGCTTCTGGTGCATTCGTACTTGTAATTCCTGAGTGGTCTCTATGTTTTTGTTTTTGTTTTTTTTTTTAAAGAGAGATCATGAACAGGGGGAGAGGCAGACAGAGAGGGAGAAGCAGGCTCCCTGCTGAGCCAGGAGCCCAATGTGAGGCTCGATGTGGGGCTCGACGTGGGGCTCGATCCCAGGATCCTGGGATCATGACCAGAGCTGAAGGCAGACGTTTAACCATTTGAGCCACCCAGGCGCCCCTCTCTATGTTTTGGTAAAGCAGAAGTGATTAGAGCAGTAGAGAAAGGCTGTGATAATTATTGATAATTGACCTCTTGGGAATAGATGTTATTTTGTCTAGGGTAGTACTTACAGACACGTTTTCATTTAATATAATTATTATTACAGGAAATATTTTATTTTTTTAATTATTATTATTATTATTTTTAGTGAGCTCTACGCCCAATGTGGGGTTCGAACTCATGACCCCAGAATCAAGAGTTACATGCTCTACCGACTGATGCAGCCCGGTGCCCCATATAGGAAAGATTTTAAATAGCTGATGTGGCAGATATATTTGTGATCTCCTAGGCTGTTACCCATTTAATACTGGAAGGAACTTCAGCAATATCTAGTCCAGCTGCACATTAGAATTATCTAGATACCATGTTAAAAGTATAGGTTTCTGATTTAGTTGATTTAGAGAACGTTCAGGAGTTAGTGTTCTTAGCAGACTCGTGAGTGACCATGACTAGCATTTGAAAAACCTGGATCTACTGCAGCCCTTCCATTTTTCGGGTGAAGAAACAAGCCCCGAAGAAGAGTGAGAAGCTCGAAGTTATCTAGTTGATCAGTGGCAGGACGGGGTCTCAGCCTGGGGTCCTTTCTAGTACACATCTAGGTGTCACCTTAACCTGTCCCCCTGAAGAATTGTTTATGCTAATAACATGAAGATAAAGTAAAAGAAAAGCTCCATTCATGATAATGTAACCAGCATCTATTTTTTTTTTTTTAAAGATTTTTATTTATTTGACAGAGACACAGCGAGAGAGAGAGAGAGCACAAGCAGGGGGAGTGGGAGAGGGAGAAGCAGGCTTCCCGCTGAGCAGGGAGCCTGATGTGGGGCTCGATCCCAGGACCCTGGGATCATGACCTGAGCCGAAGGCAGATGCTTAACGACTGAGCCACCCAGGAGCTCCCACCAGCATCTATTTCTGATACTTGTTTAAAATAAGATATCATTTGAATTGGTTTCATGCATTTATTTAGCCTATATTTAAATAGACTAAAATCCCTGGCCTCACAGAGCTCACATTCTTGCCTCTTTTACCAGCAGGTGATTGATTTGCTGTGCTAATATTAAAGCCCAAGTCCAGTTTTGGAGTTAAGTCCCAGTCCTCCCCTTGGTGTCTTTATGAACTGGACATGTTATTTATCTTATCTTCAGTGTCCTCCTCTGGCCAGTGGCGTTGCGAGCCTTAAGATATAATGTGTGTGAGGCATTATTCTGGTACCTGGTACAGTGTCTGGTACTGGTGCTCAGGCTTTTCTTGTTAGCAACAATAGCCGCGTAACCCTTGTTGCAGACTGTCCACGTGCCCTAGAAGTCATCCCTGTTGCTGAACCACTCAGCTGACTTTGAGTCATGGTCTTTCTTCTTGTTTTAGAGAAACTTGCAGGGAAAGGACCTGTAGTCATGTCCCCCTTGTACAGCATCTCATGGCACCTCAGAATGAGGTTCCTGTTATGAGAAGTCCCCCCATACCCTCTGGCAAATGTATCTTTGCCTCATTGCTGTCCTCTTGTAGGAAATCGGTACCCCTAGTGGGTAGAGACACCCAGTCCCAAGAAGCTGATCACCTTCTAGGTGGGTTTCCCTCCCCCTAGCCCAGCTTGGTCTCGTCCAGGCATCTGGGCATGTGCTGAATCCAACTCAGATCTGTGAGGCTGCTGCTTGATCTGTATTCCTTGACTCCACATCTGTGCTATAAAGGTGACTTGGAGTTGAGGCCTGCTTTCCCTCTCCAGTTCACCAGCCATCCGGGATGTGGGGGTATGGACCCAAACTACTGGGAGGTTGTGGATATTCATTACTTACGCGTTTTCCACAAGCTGTACTTTCTTCCCGGAACACACTCCCCTCAGGCAGGACTCAGCCATGGCAGCCTTTCCTCAGTGACATGTTCCTTGGCTTTTGGACCCCACTCCCCTCCATTTCTGGGTTGGCTTTTAAAAAGTGTTTACATACATAATCTCCTTAATTGTCCCACAGCCCGCTGTGGGAAGGGGAGGGGCCAAAGTTTGACCTGAAGGCCCTCACCTGTAGCCTCCTGCTCTTTGCCACCCTCACGCTGTCTGCAGCACTTGACTGGTCCCCACTCTCTGCTCCGGGAGCTCCTCGAGGGTCAGGACTTTCCTTTCTCATCTTTGCATCTTTACTTCAATCACACAGTTTCTCACAGGCAATAGAGAGTATGCACTTCAAAGCCACTGGAATAGGAGGGAGGCGATGTCAGGAGAGAAACAGGTTTTGGATGAGGCAGAGACTAGAGACTCCTGGAGAGAGCCAGCACGCAGGGGATGGCTGCGGGGGGAGAGGTGGAAAGCTTGCCGTGGAAGGACGGGAATTACACGGACGCACCCAGTAGAAGGGGGGCTGCTCTCACTTTATTTATCTGGAGGGTAGCATGCATTAAGGGGAGTGCAGGGCGTAACCATCCATTTCTGATGCTATTTCTGCCTTACGAAGATAGCATTGGAGCCAAAAGAAGCTCTTTAGTTTTTGATGGCAGAGCATCTCCAGTCATAATTAATCACCTTCCTCCCATCATAGGGTCGATGAAACAACGTTTGAGAAAGTGCTCTGTAAGCTCTGAAGTACTAGAAATATAAGCTGATGGGACTAATGCAGTACTAATGTGAGCCTTTTATCTCCCAGTCCTGTTCTCTGTGAGAGCGCCTTTCTTCCAAGGGACTCAGAGCATCTGACTGCCCTCATGCCCCTCCATAACTTCCCTCCCGTCCCTTCTAGCCATTAGCTGGTGTTGGGCAGTGCCAGCGTCGGGGACTGAGTGATGCGTCACAGCTGAGCCACACAGGGGATGCTGTCTTCATCTTTCCTCCTTAATGGCTACAGACCGGGGTTGGCCTGTTTAACAGCAACAACACTTTAAAGTTCTTTCACGTTGCAGGCTAGCCCGAGCAATCGCCTTTGTTAATACTTTGGAGGATATCCTTGCACACCTTTTCCTCTGTATTCATATGCATGCATGTGTACTTTAGAATGCACATGTGTGTCTTCATATACACATAGCTTTTAAAAAAATAATATATAGTACATATTTTGCAATTTACTCTTCCCATCCAACTATGTAACATAATCCGTTTTTCCATTTTCTGCATAAATTTACCTAGGTTTTTTTTTTTTTTTATTTGGTGGCTGCATTGTGGCTTATTCCTCCTGTGGTGGGCTTTTGGTTGTTTCTGAATTTTCACTATTGTAAACAGTGCTGCAGAGATTTTCTTTGTATATATATACCTTTACACGTGTATGGCCATTTTTTTCTGTAGGATGGGTTCCTAGAGGTAAAATTGCTAGGTCAAAGGGTATACATTTAATGTATTGAACATTTCCACTACTTAAGTGTTCCCTGTCACTTAGACATTTAGTCTTTTTTTGGGGTTTTGTGTTTGCTTTATTTTGCTATTTTAAGAAGGGTTGAATTAGTCTTGTATTCATTGTTAATGATTATATATGAGTTATTACTGTGACCTTGGAATTCACCATCAAGAAGTAACTTGGTTAACCTCAGCAACTTTTACTTCTAGGATTACCATGTTGTCCTGCTTCATGTCTCAAGTGGAGGACAGAGCTTCATTTATGATCTTGACACTGTGCTGCCATTTCCCTGTCCATTTGACACTTACGTGGAAGATGCCTTTAAGTCTGACGAGGACATCCATCCACAGTTTAGAAGGTGAGGAGATTCAGGATGGATTTACCTACTTTCTGAAGTTAGACCTTGACAGTTGTACAGGGAGTTTGTGTGAGTGTGTGTGTGTATGTGATTTTCTATTTTTTTGGCATTTGTTTTGCAAATATCACTTGATTTGGCATCACCATTGAGTTGATATTTAAAAATGATTTGCTATACAGAAGATTCAAAATGTTTTGAAGTTTTAAAAGTTGTCCAACATATAAAAGGTTGGCATTCTTTTAAAAATGTGTGTGATGGGGCGCCTGGGTGGCTCAGTCGTTAAGCGTCTGCCTTTGGCTCAGGTCATGATCCCAGGGTCCTGGGATTGAGCCCCACATTGGGCTCCCTGCTTGGCGGAAAGCCTGCTTCTCCCTCTCCCACTCCACCTGCTTGTGTTCCTGCTTTCACTCTCTCTCTGTCAAATAAATAAACAAAATCTTAAAAAAAAAAAAAAGTGTGTGCTATGAGATCCCAAACGTTTTCTGAAAGCCATTTTGGGGATTTCTGTCATACATGTGTATGTGGGTGGGTGGGTGTGTGGGTTGTGACCTTAATGATGAGAAAATTGAAGGGTTTGTGATGGTGGCACCTGAACATTATGCCCTTTACCCCCGATACACAATTGAGTAAATAAAGGCACCTGGATATATTTCTGTGCCTGTGTAGTTTTGGATTTCAGCTGATCGTTTCTCAAGGCTTCTTTAACAGGTGATAAAGCTGCATAGATATTTGTGTATTACTAATAGTACAGAAATGCCTGGGTACTTTTGTGTATGTCATAGAAAATGAGTCTGTATAAAAATTGAGCGGGAGTTTTACTATGAAACCTTCCTAATGTAAGTGAATGTTGCTTTATCTGCAGGAAATTTAGAGTGATCCGTGCAGATTCGTATTTGAAGAACTTTGCTTCTGATCGATCTCACATGAAAGATTCCAGTGGGAACTGGAGAGAACCTCCTCCATCATATCCGTGCATTGAAACTGGAGGTGAGCCAAAGATGCCTTCTCATAGAGGTTTCTGATCACCATGCAGATCAGCATTGCCTCTTAACCAGGGACAAGAAGTGTGTGTTATTCTTTGTATGAAACTCCCTGAGTTGTAAGAAGGTAATAGGGAGCACAGATGTGCGTATTTATTAGATTCAGAAATTGAGGCACAGAGACCAGGACTTAAGCGTAAGAGCTCGCGGGGAGGGGAGGTGTTCAGGAGCAGAATCACGAGACCTGCATACCGCCTTGCACACTGCCAGGGTATTGGGTGTGCCTACTGATGGGACACTGGGCCTCAGGAGGTCTGCGTGCTTGGGTCATTTAACAGTGGGACAAGTAGCACCTTGCCATGGTGGGGTTTCATGTTAGGGTGAAAGTCCCTAGGGCATCCTTGCAATATGTGAAATATCATTTCCCTGGCTCTGTGATAAAATCTGCATTAGAAGGAAGTGAGATCTAGGAGGTTTTATTGTACCACTCATCACATTTATGTGCTTTTAGGCATCAGTCCAATTAATTTCTGAGATTTAAGTAGATAAAGAGTTCTTCACCCTATTACTGTTGTTTGGCATTCACATGAGCTTGAAACATTATTGATGATTGTAAGTAATTCGCAACGTTTGCCATTTCTTGGTGAGGTCATTCCGTCCTGGGGCTTGGACCTTCTGTGTGAAAGTTCTCTGTAAGCTATACAACATACCAGAAAAATAGGACAGTGGCAATCGGAGTTGAGCAAGGAAGAAAATAAATATATTTGGTGTATTTGATCACTGAAAGAGGATTCAAACTGATTTTTGAGGCTCCCTCTGAAAAACTGTCTCATGATTTTAAACATTTATATTGGAGTTGCTTTTGGGTCTGCCAGCCTGCTTGCTAGCCTCAGCATTAGATTGGGGACAGCTCCTAGGTTAGGAGGGGGTATCATAGATCTTCCTTTTAGTCTCGGGCAGCCTGCCGTATAGGGTGTGGCCTGGAACAGCGTGCCTTCAGCCACCTGCCGTTTCTCTTTCAGACGTGAGCACCCAGCACAGAGCCTAGCACATAGCAAGCACTCAGTAAACACCAGCCTGTCAGCCCGGATCCTCTTTGAGTCATTCCTTTTTTTTTTTTTTTTAAATAGTTTTTTTTAAGATTTTTTTATTTATTTATTGAGAGAGAGAGAATGATAGAGAGCATGAGAGGGAGGAAGGTCAGAGGGAGAAGCAGACTCCCTGCTGAGCAGGGAGCCCGACCCGGGACTCGATCCTGGGACTCCAGGATCATGACCTGAGCCGAAGGCAGTTGCTTAACCAGCTGAGCCACCCAGGCACCCATTCCTTTTGGTTTTGATGACTACTGCCCAGTAGATGCTATTTTGTGCCAGGCTTTGGTGCCAGCCACTTTACATAGGAGTTTAGTAGAATTTTTACCACAGCTCAGGCAAGCTTTATTTTGCACATTTGATAGCTGTGTAAAGTGAGGTGCATGAAGATTAAGCTCTTTGCCTCGGATGCACAGCGAGGCAGGATGAGGAGGGGGCATGGTGGTGGTGGTTTCTGCCTTGTGTGTGATTAGTTCATCAGGGACCTTCTGAACTTGAGACTGAAACTAAAAGGAATCTGCTCTGAAGTGTGGGGTGAACATGTGGGTCTCCCATGTCATAATTTAACGACACTGTAATGTTCTCTCATGTGGTAAACTCAGTACTTCAGATCCTGTGTTTATCAAAGGAATATATTTGAAGTTAGGATAAGTGAGAATTACTTTTAGCTAATTAGTAGTGTTTTATAAAAAAATAAAGAAGGTTAAAAAAAGAAAAGTGGTTCAAGAAAAATATTGAACCTTAATGTCTGTTTCAGGTACTTTAATAGCACTTCCCTCCATCCCCTGCATTCAGTGGCGGGTTTGACTCTTAGGGCTTGAATTTAGTACATTTGATATGTTGACCATTAGGATTATATGATTAATAATTTTGGTGGCCATATGTCTGCAAGACCACTCTTTTTCAGTTCAGCATTTAGTGTATTTTAAAGAAAGGAACTATTTTTTTTTTTTGCCCCCATGAGAAGGAAACTGAAATTTATAGTCATATCACCTTGCCCTGAAGAGTCAGTTCCAGCACTAGCCGCTGATGGCTCAGTTTTTAAAGACGCTTCTGAAGTCTTGGGCTGAATTATAGAGCACACCAAATTTCCCCCTCTTTCTGAGTCCTTTCCTGCCTCTTATCCGCATATCCCTCTGATCTTCTTGCTTCCTAATGTCTAGTAACACTGGCTAATTTGAGCCAAGCTGGAGGATGAGTGTTAGGGAAACAAATGTTATAGTGCCTCATGGGGGAGATTAGAAGAGACAGGTGTTTACTTATTATACCTTGATCTCTAAAAAAAATTTTATATTTTGTGTTTAATACATTGATCTTTTTACATAATGAATGATTGCAGATCATAATCAGTTTTTATTTAATTACATTAAAAAGTCTTAGAAAACAAAACAGAAAAGGGGGGGTGCCTTAGAAAACAAATGTTGTATTTCAGAAGCTGAGATTTCTTTTAAAAGCAGTTTGTTAAAAATTTTCACAGACTTTTGCTGGCCTCTGTAGAGTCTGGCACCCACCCACCCAGGTCAGTAGGAACTGCCACTTCATCATTCCTGATAGGTGCTCGTCTTCCCTTTATTTCTGGTTACGTGGTAATCCAGCATTCCTAGCTCTCTGATGACTTCAAGAAAAGTTCTGTGTTTGCTGATTATCTAGCTTTTGTGTTAGAAGGGTGTTAGCAACTCTTTTAGTTTTCTACATCCTCTGTGCTTACCTGCATTTTCGAAAGATACAGGTGTGGCGTCACGGATGCTAGGCTTACATGTTTTTGCTTTCAGTTGTTTAAAGGCTTCTCTCTCTTGTTTTCTGCTTGCGTGGGCTCTGATCTTGTATTTGTTTCTCTGAATGCTTTCCGCTCTCCATTTTTTTTTTTTTTAAAGATTTTATTTATTTGACAGAGAGAACACAAGTAGGCAGAGTGGCAGGCAAAGAGAGAGGGAGAAGCAGGCTCCCCACTGAGCAGGGAGCCCGATGCGGGGCTCGATCCCAGGACCCTGGGATCACGACCTGAGCCGAAGGCAGACACTCAACCGACTGAGCCACCCAGGCGCTCCTCCGCTCTCAATATTTTTAAAGGTTTTTTTCTTTGTCACTATTTTTAGCATTTTGATTAGGATGGATTGTAGTGTAGTTTCCTTTAGGTTTATTCCTGAATAACCTGAAGATTATTCTGAGATCCTGAGATTGGTGGATTTATAGTTTTCATCAAATTTGAAAACATTTGGCCATTATTTCCTTGCACATTTTTTTCTGACCACCCACCCTCCTTTAAATTCTTGTCCTTCAGCTACGCATGTGTTAGATGGCTTGATATTATTCCCATAGGTCAGTGATGTTCTTCTTTTTTTTTCAGACTTTTTCTGTACGTGCTTAATTTTGAATAATATTTTTTTAAAGATTTTATTTATTTATTTGACAGAGAGAGAGAGAGCGAGAGCAGGAACACAAGCAGGGGGAGTGGGAGAGGGAGAAGCAGGCTTCCTGCAGAGCAGGGAGCCTGATGTGGGGCTTGATCCCAGGATGCTGGGATCACGACCTGAGCCAAAGGCAGACGCTTAATGACTGAGCCATAATTCTTTTATTTTGTCTGTAAATTCATTGCTCTTGTCTTCTGCATTCACTAATTTGTTGTTAATCTTATCCAGCACATTTTTTAAAATTTTATATATTTTTTTATGTCTAGAAATTCCATTTTGGACTGATTTAATGTTTTGAATTTCTCTCTTCATCATGCTCATGTTTTTCTCTACCCTTTTGAACATATGGGGCATGTTTATAATAGCTGCTCCTTGTCTGCTAGTTCCATTATTTCTGTCATTTTAGTCCATTTCTGTTGATTGAATTTTCCCCTGGTTTTGGGTCATATTTTCCTGTTTCTTTGTGTGATTTGTAAAATTTGGTTGGAGGCTGGACTTTGAATTTATGTTGTCAGTTGCTGGGTCTTGAGGTCCTTTTTAAAAACAGTGTTGGCATGCAGTTAAATTACTGGGAGTCAGCTGGGTCCTTTCAGGGCTTGTTTTTAGGCTTTTTTAGTGTAGGTCCAGAGCAGCCTTTCATCTAGTGCTAATTTAGCCCCAGTGCTCTGGTGCAGCCCTTCTAAGGACTCTACCAAATGCTTGTACCTTACAAGTTCTCTCTCCCCTGGCTGGGGGGGACTACGGAAGTTCTGGCAGTTATTAGATCGACTATATTCTGGTGCTTCTTTCCTGCCCCTGGGAAGTCAGTCCCAGCCAAAGACGGGTGTGTGTCGTGGTCAGGGTGGGTGGGGAAAGGTGTGGGGGGGTCCGCTCTGCACCCCCCCCCGTACTCTCTGCCCCCTAGGTCCAGCTGCCCGGCCCCTCCCGAACCTAGATGTTTGTCTTCTCACTTCAGGGAGATTGCCATGCTGGGTGTGTTCCCCTCTGTGTGCTGGGCTCCGGACACTGCCCCCGAGGCCAGTAAGCCGGAGGGATCCCAGGGCTTCCCTTACTTGTTTCTACTTTCTTAGGAATCCCAGGTGTGTGCTGCTTGTTGTCCCAACGTCTGGAAAGAGTTGCTAAATATATTTGCATGGTTTTCTGTAAGTTTATGGTGGAAGTGCAGTTTCTGTAACAATTTTTTGATGGGCAGATACAGCAATATGTACATAAAAATTTTTTTTAGTGTGGAGAATTTTTTTTCAAGATTTTATTTACTTATTGGACAGAGAGAGACACAGAGAGAGAGGGAACAGAAGCAGCGGGAGAAGGAGAGGGAGAAGCAGGCTTCCCACTGAGCAGGGAGCCCGATGTGGGGCTCGATCCCAGGACCCTGGGATCATGACCTGAGCCGAAGGCAGACGCTTAATGACTGAGCCACCCAGGCGCCCCTAGTGTGGAGAATTTAAATCATATACCAAGCTAGACAAAATAGTATGTCAGACTTTCAACAGTTATCAGTTCAC